AGTTTAGGTAGGGGTGGGGACTGCTGCTGACCAGGGATTCCCAGAGGAGCAGTCCTGTTTGGGATGGGGGTGCCCCTAATCAGTACCTCACACTTGCCCAGCCTGCAAGGATCAGTGCTGGTGGGAAGAAGCAAACTGGCTTGAGCTCTCAGGCACTGAGCTAGGGAACATGTGGGAGTGCCTGAAGGCCCACCTTCACCATCCCCTTCCTTCCAGCCTCCGTCAGCTAAATATGGAGGGCGGCACACAGTGACAATGATCCCAGGGGACGGTATTGGACCAGAGCTCATGTTACACGTCAAGTCTGTGTTCAGGTACAGAGCCCCTGGGCCCACCTCCCTTTGTCTTGTCCCCCAGGGTGGATTGTGTCTTGGGCCTAGCTGGGAACCCTGAGCTTTGTGCCAAGGGGACACCAGAAGCCCCTGGTGAGGCAGTGGCAGGAGGGCCTGTGAGGCCAGGCCTTGCACCCCGGTGCCTCTGATCCTGCCAGGTTGGCCTGGGCACTGGGAGGATTGCACCAGCTCTGGTAACAGTGTATATTGGGAAGTTCAGGCATGTCCTGCCAGTTGGCATAGGTGACTCCAGTCTCTCCCTGGCCAGAGCCAGGGCAGAGCAGTCAGCAACAGGGGAGAGGCCTCTGTGCCCAGCAGCCTGGGCCAGCCTTCTTGACTGTGTTCTGCCCCAGGCATGCATGTGTGCCTGTGGACTTCGAAGAGGTGCACGTGAGTTCCAATGCTGATGAAGAAGACATCCGTAATGCCATTATGGCCATCCGTCGGAACCGTGTGGCCCTGAAGGGTGAGCTCCAAGGCCAGAGACCAGGACTGGGCCCTATGCATGATTCCTACACCTCTAAGCTGACTCTTATAAGGCCCCACACCTCTGATTTCAGGTCTTTTCTAGTTAGAGAAGACCCTTGTGCTTGGAGACTTAGCAGAAGCTTCTGTGGGTCTGTTCATACTATGACCCTGAGATCATGGTGGAAAGAGCTATGTGTGAGCCTGGCCAGTGACAGGCTCCCTCCCCCCACCTCCTTCCCTTCTCAGGAAGCCCTCTCTGGTGGGGTCAGCTTTGACACTCAGAGTCTTTTCACAAACCAAATATTATATAGATGCAGTTCTGACTCTCTGTGGTAGCCTTGGCTCTAGTTTGCACAACTGTGGATGATACAGGCAGGATTCTAGTAGCCTCTCTTGAGTTTTCTTTGGTTTGGTCCAGGTAATTAAACTGTTTATATCAGTCACTTTGCAAACTGCTCTGTGTTAGAAGCATGTGAGCAAAGATGAACCCAGGTAGAACTCCAGGCCCTAGTAGTCTAGTTGAGGGGGCTACATGCCAACTACAGGATGCCCTGGATACTCTGCGTGAAGGCGGCATGGCAGGGTGCAGTTCAGAGGGTTAGGTGGCCCTGGTTGGCTGCCAAGGAAGGCTGCTCTACCCAGCACCCTCTACCGCCTGCTTCTAGTGGCTACTGGCCCCTGCTTCCCTCCCTCTGGATATCCTGAGCCAATCTGGCCTTTTGCAGGCAGCTCCTGCCTGCCCTTGAATGGGGGCTCATGTGGTACCTTAACATGGGGCCCAGCAGTAACCACAGCCAAGGTTACTTTGCTGGAGCCAGCCTGACTAGCCACTCTGTTAGTAAACAGGAGCACTCATTTTCTTTTTTGAGACAGAGTCTCACTTTCTTGCCCTTGGTAGAGTGCTATGGTGTCACAGCGCACAGTAACCTCCAGCTCTTGGGCTTAGGCTATTCCCTTGCCTCAGCCCCCAGAGTAGCTAGGAGGCTATTGCCAGGCACCTGGCACAATGCCTGGCTATTTTTTGTTGCAGTTTGACCTGGGTCAGGTTTGAACCCACCACCCTGGGTATATGGGGCCAGCGCCCTACTCACTGAGCCACAGGCGCCGCCCACAGGAGCATTCACTTTCTGTTGAGGCAGACCCTGGATAGGAAATGACATGGCCTCCTGGCCAGCTGCCAACTCTTACTCATTCATTTATTTTGTTCATTTATTCATCCAGTGAGTATTTATTGAGTGCCTTCTATGTTCCAGGTACCCTTCTAATTCCCTCAAACTCATCTTGAACGAAACACAAATACACATACACCCACCTTTGCCCTCATGGGTCCTACATTGAAAGTTGTGTTCTAGTGTACCATGAAGTATTTTTGTTGTTAGAATCTTCTGTGGTTCAAGTAGTCTTTGGCACACATTTGCCAGGTTAGGAAGGAGGAGTGTGGCAGACTGTGGCTTAGCCTGGGATGCTAAGGCAGGCTGGAAAGGGCATCCTTTTTGTTTTGTGTTCTATAGGCAACATTGAAACAAACCATAACCTGCCACCATCCCACAAATCACGAAACAACATCCTTCGGTGAGAGCCAACTACCCAGGGCCATGGCTTGGGGGCCAAGTTGGGGTATGCCAGCAGAGTCTGGCCCCAGCTAGCTGCCAGTCAGGCCTAGCCTGCCTCTTTCTTTTTCGCCTCCTAGCACCAGCCTGGACCTCTACGCCAATGTCATTCACTGTAAGAGCCTGCCGGGAGTGGTGACCCGGCACAAGGACATAGACATCCTCATCGTCCGGGAAAACACAGAGGGCGAGTACAGCAGCCTGGAGCATGAGGTGGGCAAGACCTAGGTACCCTCTTGAGTCATGGGCAGTGGGGATGATCTCAGTCACAGGCCATGTTGAGGGAGACCCTAAGGAAGCAGGAACAGATGTACCCTCACAGGGTAGGGCCTGTGCTCATGGGAGAGGCCAAAAGTCCTCAGAGACAGGGCTGCTTTCCCCTGCCCTCTTTGCTCCAGCTTGCTTGGTCAGCTTGACTTTCACAGGCTCCCTGAGGTAGTCTCCACGAGGAAACAGATCCCTTTTCCCCTATCCACTTCTCAGAGTGTGGCAGGGGTGGTGGAGAGCCTGAAGATCATCACCAAGGCCAAGTCCCTGCGCATTGCAGAATATGCTTTCAAGCTGGCTCAGGAGAGCGGGCGCAAGAAAGTGACAGCTGTGCACAAGGCCAACATCATGTATGTCCCCCCCCCCATCCTCCTGCCCCCTCTGTGAGCAGTCCTGAAGCAGCTGGAGCAATCCACCTGGGCCTGCTCTCAGGGCCTTGGGGTCTGAGACCTGAAGCTACCTACCAGGGGCCACACTACACCCAGGTGTGTGCCCTGTTGTCCCTAAGGCCTTGCCCCAGGGGAGGTGGAATGAGATTATGCCCATCCTGCAGGTGAGGGGCAGGTTAAAAGTGAGACTTCAACCTATCATAGCTCCCTGTATACCTTGGCCCTCTGGCCGACTGTTGTGACAGACCAAGCTAGTGCCCTGTTTCCTCCCCTTCTCAGGAAACTGGGTGATGGGCTCTTCCTCCAGTGCTGCAGGGAGGTGGCAGCCCGCTACCCCCAGATTACCTTTGAGAACATGATCGTGGATAACACCACCATGCAGGTAAATAGCCTCCCTGGCTTTATCACCTCCTGCCCTGGGCCCCCTGGGCTTCTCACACTCGTGCTCCCAAATCTACTCCTCAGCCTTCTTCTTGTCCGGCAGCTTGTGTCCCGGCCCCAGCAGTTCGATGTCATGGTGATGCCTAATCTCTATGGCAACATCGTCAACAATGTCTGCGCTGGGTTGGTTGGGGGCCCAGGCCTCGTGGCTGGGGCCAACTATGGCCATGTGTATGCGGTGTTTGAGACGGTGAGTGCCTCCAGCAGCCCCAAGGCTCAGGTGCTGCCCTGTGGTCTTCCCTTTTCAGCCATAGTGTGGTAAAACTCACATGCCAGGAAGCTTGCCTGCTCCAAGTACATGATTGAGTGGTTTTTAGAATATCCAGTTTTGCAGCCCTCACCACTATCTCATTCTAGATCATTTCCATCTCCCTGAAAGGAAACCCTGTCCCCATTAGTTGACTCTCCCCATCTCCTCTCTCAGCCCCTGGCACCCACTCAGTTCTTTGTGTCTGAAGCCTCTCCTGGATGCTTCAGTGAGTAGAATCATCTGCCCTGCTTTCTTGCCTTTTCTACTCATTCTCCTCCATCTTGCCTTTCTAGGCCACAAGGAACACAGGCAAGAGTATCGCCAATAAGAACATTGCAAATCCCACAGCTACTCTGCTGGCAAGCTGCATGATGCTAGACCACCTCAAGTAAGTGGCTCCCAATGCCTGGCCATGAGCCTGCCAGACAGTATCCAGGCCTTGGGGACTGAAGGCTGCTCTCCTCTCCTCTAGGCTCCACTCCTACGCCACCTCCATCCGCAAGGCCGTCTTGGCATCCATGGACAATGAAAACGTGAGGTTCCTCATGTTCCCTCCCCACCCCTCACGCTTCCCTCCTCTAGCCTGTGCTGACTGGGGCTCCAATGGGAGGGTGGCACAGATAGGTGTGGTCTCCAGGCCTCAGCTTATGTTGCTGCCTTCCTGTTGGTAGTTCCAACCCCTGCAGACAGTGGGAGACAGCAGGGAGCCATGGGCTGCCTGTTGAATGGGGATGTTGGCAGGGCCTTGCATGTACCCCAGCTGGCCTGTCTCCCACAGATGCACACCCCAGACATCGGGGGCCAGGGCACCACTTCTGAAGCCATCCAAGACATCATCCGCCACATTCGCATCATCAATGGCAGGGCTGTGGAGGCCTAGGTTGTCCCAGGATTGTTATGGCCCACTCCTCAGATTCCCCTTTTACCCCCACACCCTTAGCCAGCTCAGTAGGCAGAGCCCAGAATAAACTAGCTTTGTCCCCAGCTCTCGACCACGTGCTTACCTTACCCTAGGACACAAGTGTTCCAGTTCACACTTTATTAAGAAAGAAACACACACTGGTTCCCCCAAGGACTCTGTAGGAGGACCACCAACATAACACATTCTGAAAGGTGGGCCTGCTCCCTCGCCTGTATCTGTCTACCCTGCCATGGTGGCAGGGCAGGTGGGGGAGAGGGTAGCTCCCACAGGGTGGTGGGAGTTGTCCCATTCCCTCAAGGCCCTGAGAGCTGGAGGCAGGGCCTAGGGGTTGAGCCAAGGGTGCTGGAGGCAGTCTGCTGCACTGGCCCTCTTTTCAGGGATATATTCCATCATGGGCAGCAGGAAGGCACTGAACTGTGTGGCCTGCTCCAGGGGCCACTCGTACTTCTCCATGAGGACCTCATACAGGCCCCAGTGCTTGAGGTTGTGAATGTGCCGCAGCTCTCCTGAGAGTGGCAGGGTGGGCATCAGTCTCCTTCTCCATCCTGCCTGGCACTTAGGCTCTGCCAGGAAGGCCTCTGGCTTCTGGGTTCCCTCCATTTCAGAACTTAAGGGCCCTGTTCCACCCTCCCCATGGCCAGGTGGCCTGAGCCTGCTTGAGTACCCACCTCTCCTGTTGAAGAACTCCCGGGAATAGCGGCCTGAGAGGGCAAAGGCCGGGGGGATGTCTCCTAGAAGTTCCACGATGTGAGCAATGTGGTCTATGGACAGAGATGAAGTTGGGATGCAGGTGGGAGGCCAGGAGGTGCTAGGGATGAGCCTGGGGCCTGCCTCCCTACCCTCATCCCGACTGTAGTCTTCTCCAGAGTGAGGCTCAAACAGGTAGTCGCCAGTGGCCAGCTCAAAGGCCTGGAATTGGGGAAGGAGGTGAGGCAGCTGGCTGGAAGGTCCGTGGCCCTGGGCATGGGGCAACCCAGGTGGGCATACCATGCACGCTGTGCTCCAGATGTCTGCAGGGGGCCCATACTCAGCACCGATCAGCACCTCTACCGCCCGGTATTGCCGGGTCTGGATGTCCTCAGTAAAGTGCTTATGCTGGAGGCAAGGGAAGCCCTAGGGACAGGAGCTGGGGCCAAGGTTGGCCTGTCCCTACTGAGCCCTATCCCCACCTCTGGTCCATGCACCCAACAAGCTCTGGTGGGGCTTCCTCTGAGCCTCAGGGTCCCAGGAGAAGGACTGACCCCTTCCTAGTGGGCCCGTGGCCAAGCCAGTCAGTTGTGCACACTGCAGGCCTGTGAAATGAGTCCAACCATCCACCCTCAGACCAGGGCCCCCAGTGCTGCACCATAGGGCTCACTCATACCACCCAGCAGGCATTGCCCAGGTCTGCGATCTTGATCTTGATCTTATCTGCGTTTTGGGGCTCTAAAGGGTTCACCAGAAGGTTTGAGGCACCAAATGGTGCTGGGGAAAGAAAAGAAGGGAGAGAGACTGAGTTGGTTCCACTCTTCATGGCCCTGCCTCCCGCTAACCACCACCCAACTTACTGCTGGGTGACAGGAGGCCCCCGGTCTCACGCTGAGTGGATGAGCCAGAGAGGATGGAGCCCGAAGCCAGAGAGAAGAGGGAGCCAGAAAAGCCAGAGCTCTGTGACCCAGGGCTGAGTCTGCGGTTGCCCCCTGGGGTGGGGGAGGAGGAGGCTGGGGAGGGGCCTGCCCCGGCACCCCCAGGGTGGCAGCCTGAAGAGGAGGTGGAGCCGCTGCCCCCCTCTAGTCTCCAGCTGGAGTCTGGGGAGATGGAGTGGAGGTGGCACATGAGCAGGTGCCCCTCAGCCTGCTCTGTGCTGGGGCCTGGCACCCCTTCTGGTGCCTCACCCTCGGCCTGGGCAGCTGCCTCCATAGCCTCCAACCTCTGCAGGTCCTGCAGCCGCTCCTCCAGCAGTCGCTTCTGCAGTTTCCGTTTGCGCCTCATCTTCTTCCTCTTGTTTTTGGACAGCTTACTGGTCTGCTGTCAGAGCCAGGGTCACCTGAGAGTTTCTGGTGCTCTTCCCACCCCCAGTCAGCCTGATAGTGGAGGTTTCTGATACACCCCACAAGGGACAAAGCCTCCAAGCCCCAGGGCTCCCAGGGATGCCAGAATGTGTCTCTACCCCACTTAGTCCCACCTTTGGCACCAGCTCCTCACCCATCTCTCTGCCTCCCAGTCCGTCCTACTCTGTAGAGGGGAGGGTGTGCTCCCTGTCCCCTCCAGGCTGCAGCTAAGGTGGCCTGAAGTGACCATTAGTGGAAGATGCAGTGTCCTTCCACTGAGGTCGTTTGGGACATAATCCACCCTATGTGTCACTCATTTGAGGCACCTGGCCTTTCAGTGCCACTATAGGAGTGCTGTGGAGGTGGGGTGGTACCAGAGTGGCTGAGGGAGGACATGGGGGGGAGATGGCCCTCAGCTGACTACATTTGAGAGGGGTACCCCAACTTACCGAGACTTCCTGGGGGGCAGTGCTGACTGAGGGTGCAGGTGGGACATGGGGAGAGAGGAACAGAGGTTCAGGCAGGAGCTGAGCCTGGAGGCCCCAACCTCGTCCTGCCCAGGCTCTTGGTACCTATGGAGCGGGATGGGGGCAGTGCCCCTGACTGCTGCCATGCTGTGGCCTCAGCAGCCAGGCGCCTGATGTATGGGTCACCCACACACAGCAGGATGTTCTCAGGCTTGATGTCTGTGTGGATGATCTTGCACTTTGTGTGGAGGTAGTCCAAGCCATGCAGCACCTGGGGGCAGGGGCCACACCTCAGCACCGGCCCCAGCTGGGCTGGGCCACATGGCCTGTTGGGCAGCACTCACCTGCCTCACAATGCTCTTCACACAGGGCACAGGCAGGCCCTGGTAATTGGACTTAATGATCCACTTGAGGAGCTGGTGGCCTAGCACCTCCAGCACCATGCACACATCTGCGGCCAGGAGTGAAGGCGGTCAACTCTGGCGGTCACTATTATCCAGCATTATTTATAGTGTCCCTGTCACTCAGAGGTGTGCCAGTCAGGCTGGTATATTTTGTGGTCATACTAGAGAGGGAACACTAGAGGGGCAGGGACAGAGGCCTTTTAGGCCAGCCTCACTGCCCTACCCAATTACGCTAAAGGGTTTCTTGGTAGCCTCCAAAGGGGAGGTACTGCTTCTGCAGCCCCCATCGCTCAGGGTAACAGCCACATACCGAGATCAGCAACAACCACCTGTGCCCTTGCGAACAGTTACCCAAAGAGGCAGGGTTATGTCATAGACTAGCGCCACTGGGAGGGGTAGAGCCTCATGTGCCAATCAGCACACTGAGGTTCCAGAAGCTGCCACACTGCTCTGCTAGTTCTGCAAAGGATATGGACTCCATTAACGCCTGAGATCCTGAAGTCATCAATAAGCTGAACAATGGTCTCTCTTTTGGGGTCACTAGGGTCACTGTCCCGAACCTAGGGCAAAAATGAAGGGACAACAGATGGTTCCAACCTGTCCTTCACCAGCTGCTTCCCTCAGTGTCCCTGAAGCACTTCTGGTTCTCCCCTTCCTGCTACAGCTGGGTCACACTGCAAGAAAAGCTGCCAGTCCCTCCGCCTGTCCCTTTGGGTCCTACCCTGGTGGAGCCAGCTGGAGTCTGCCCCTCAGGGAGCCCCAGCAGGCCCTTCACCCTCATCACCCGGCCCCAGGCAGCTCTGGGGAGCTGGAAGCAGGCAGGGGAGGTGCCTCACACATTTCAGGAGCTTGATCTCATCCACAGCTGTCTCTGTGTAATGTCCCGCGCTCTTCACCACTTTTAGGGCCACAAAGCGCTTGCGCCTGCAATACCAACACCCTTGTAGGCTGTGGCCCTGGACCATCCCACAGAGGTACATTGTGGTGGCCCCAACCAAGCCCAGGAGCAGGATTCCAGCCAGCACTGGGTCTTGGAGGCCAAAGGGGGGACTCACTGGATGTCCCAGCAGAGCCAGACAGTGGAGAAGTGGCCCCAACCCAGCTTGCGCACCACATGGTACCGACCATTGAACAGATCTCCAATCTTCACAGGATAGTAGCCACCTGCCGAAACAAAGGGAGCCACAGATCATGGGGCCTCCCTTCCCCCACCCGACCCCTCAGGACAGCCCAGCCCGGCTGGCCACCGGGTCCATATGGGCCTATGCTGTCCAGGGCTCCTGCAGTCTGGCTGCATGCGCCCAAGGCAAAGCCTCACCCTTGCAGTAGTCCTTAGGATCCTCCTGTTCCTCGTCGTCAGAGCCCAGGAACCCCTGCAGCATCCGGGGCGCCGGTGTGGCTGGGGCTAGTTCAGAGCCTGAGGACTCAGGCCCACAGGAGGCCTGTGAGCTGTGGGTGAGGTGGGCGGACAGTGAGCGAGCGAACCGTCAGGGGCCCGGGTGCCTGGGGCGAGTCTTACCTGCTGCTGCTGCCGCTGGCTCCGCCACCACCGCCCCTGCCGCTTGTGCTGGCGCTCATCCCAGCCACGCAGCCCTCAGCTCCGGTGCCCCAGGCGGCTGCTCCTGTGGGGCCCGTGGAGGCCCGAGCATTTATAGCCACGGCCGCTGATCTCACCCGCCTTTATAAATAGCCTCCCAGCTGCTATGCTGTGGGCAAGGTATGTGGCACGGGAGGGGGCAGCGCGGCAACAGTGGAGAGACTAGCCCCCAGGCCACACTGCCCTACCATAATGCACTCACTGCAGGGGCTGGGGGGGGGGGCTACTGCTTGGGGGCAAGGTGGTGGCGACTTGGTCTCCAGGACCAGCCCCTGTATCCCATCCACACAGGGAGGAAACAACCCATACCTCAGGTCAACCCCCTGCACTCCGGAGTTGATAGCAGGGGCCACCCTGGAAAGAATGTGCTCCACTTGGTGACCTGGTCCCCTGCCCTGTGTCCCAGGGCACTGGTATTGCTTTGGGACTATTCTCACTCAGACTTCCCAATTAGTCCCCGTGGCATCCTAGTGGAGGAGACCCCCTTCCATTCCCACTGCAGCCCCCTTTCCACCCACATTTGACTGGTCCTGCTTTCTCTGTGATGTGTCACAGCTTAGGTGAGAGCCAGTGCTCTCTCCAGATGTGTTTCACTGGGGACTACTGGCAGAGCAGGGGTCAAGGCATGAGTTGAGGGTACCTTAACCACCTCTGGAGAACAAGCCAGTCCACTGCCACTGCCCATGAGCCACCAGGATCCCTATGAGGGAGCATTAGAGGTCTCTATGCATTGGCCATGGTGGCAGCATGGTTAGGGGGACTGGTGAGGGCGCCGCCTGGATTCTGGGGCAGCAGCATAGTGTTTCAGCAGAGACTGACAAGCACCTCTGTTCTGAGGAAGATTACTCTGGCTGCTTTGAGAAGTAGACAGAGGAGCAACCATGGAGCTAGGAGGCCAACTGGGACCACTGGGGGCCCAATGAAGCAGAGGCAGCTTGGTAGTGATAGAGGTGGTCCCAAGATGGGAGACACCTGAGCCAGGAAAGAACTGGTAGGGGCAGTAGAGGCATAAAGAGAGGGAACAGCTTTCCTGTGGGGCCAGGGGATGTGGGAGGAGAGGAAAGCAAAGACTGGGGCTGCCTGATGGCCTCTGTTTTGGTGGGCAGCAGGTCACAACCATGGGGTAGAAAGGTGAGCCTTGTAGGAGAAGGCAGAGCCTGGGGATTGGGCTTTTTCTAGATAAATGTATTTCAGCTTTATTTCCAGATGTGATTCTCTAGCAAACAAATAAATACAATGTGGGGAGGGCAGAAGGAACAGGTATGGACATATTAAGTTAGAAACAAGCCCAGGGGAAGGGGGAAGGCAAGCAGGTGGTAGGGCAGGGAGCCCACTGCTGGGCACAGAATCCTGAGGCTTTGCTGGCCTATCCTCAGTCACTGAGTCAGTCCTGTGGTGGCAGGTCCTGCTGGCTGCTCTCTAAGCTGGTGGGCCCAAGCTCATAAGTCAGTCACTTTGTTCTCTACCAGGGCAGCAATGTGCTGGAGACGGCAGGCCAGCTGCACCTTCTGGCCCACAGGCTCATCCTCCAGGGCGCTAATGATCTGCCAGGGTAGAGAAGGGGGCCTGAAGCCTACTCCCTGCCCACTGGCCACCCAGCCCTGCTGCCATCTCAGTAGAAGCCTGGAGATTCAGTGGGGGCTGCCCGGGGCCTTCCTGGGGAATTCAAATGGAAGCCAAGCCCCTTTCCCGGCCTGGGCCCTTCTGACACAGTCTGGCACCTTCCCTCTCCTCTGCTTGGATCAGGCCACCCCTAGGGAGGTTCCATGGACCTCCCTCTTCACTACCTCTATTCCTGGGCCTCACCTGGTCATAATACCTGTGGATGTGGTGGTACAGGCCTTGCAGAGCCTCCAGGCAGTGGGGAGCAGAGGTGTAGCTCTGGGGACAGCACAAGGGGGGAACTGAGGCCCCAGCCTGGGCCTCAAGCCCCAATTCCCCCCTGCTCTGATATTCTTTCCCCTCCCCCAGATGTGGAAGGCTGAGCCCCTGGGCCATGCCTCACCCCAGAGAGCTCAGCCAAGGCCGAGTTCATCTCCTGGTAGCTGGCTGGGGAGCTCTGGCGAATGTCAGCATAGTATCTGGAAAAGTAGACAGGGTTAGGGGCGAGGCAGATCCAGCCCCCAGCCCTAATGGCTTTGACACCTACTTCTCCACCATCTGCTTGTAGCGAGGGATCTCCTGGGCGTAGAGCAGCTTGTTCACAGGGGAATCCTGCTCCGGGTTGGGGAGGTACTGGATGTGAGCTAGGTGGTGAAGGAGCCACCAGCCACCTCCTGGCACTCAGTATGCTGCCAACCCCCAGCCAGGGCTGCACCCATGAGCCCTCCTTCTCAAGCCCCTGCCACTTGTGTGGCAGCTCTGCCCTCACCCGGCCCACTTTATGCTCTGAGATGGTGCAGGAGTCAATGAAGGTCTGGGCAATGACAGCAAGGATGGCGTCCACGTTGTCAGACACTCGTACATCAAAGATGAGCTGTGGGTTCTTCAAGACGTTCACCCAGAATCGCAGCAGCAAACTGGGGACATGGGCAGGGGTGGGTGTGAGGCCCTGGCCTGACGCATAACCTCCTCCCCCTGACCCACGAGAGCTGGGCCCTGATCCTCCTACAAATTTATGTTGAGGGGGACCTGCTGCCCCTACCCTGGGACTGTCCTTGTTCCTCTGGGACTCACTGGACCATCTGCACAGATAGGGTTCAGCAGGAAAAGCACCTGTTAGTCTTCCAGATATGCAGGGTCTCTGCATCCCCGATGCCATGCTTCTCTGCCAACTCATCCAGGAAGTCAAACAGATACTTAACAGCAATGGGCACTGGCTGGTTCACACTGAGGATGGCCTGGAAGGTGTCATCTACAAACTTCTGCAGTGTGCCCTGATAGGCAGGGGATGAGAGCAGGATGTAGGGAACATCGGAGACCAGGGCTGCCCCTCTAGGACCCTGCCCAGTCCCCAGCTCAGTCAGACACCCCGTTGGTGACCTTCACTGGGGTCCGGCTCCTTTGGCTACACTGACCTTCATGGAGAGCAGGCGGGTGAGGTAGATTTCTGGAATGGCCTTGGCCCTTGCCTGCTCCCACTCTTGCAGGCTGCTGCGCCATACCTTTGCCTCTTCTGGCTCCTCAGTGGCCTTTACCAGGTGCCAGAGGCGTACCCCACCCTCCTCACCATCCTCCAGCGTTGGGATGTCTGAGGGCAGGGAAGACCAACCTCAGTGTGGCACCCCTGACTCCACCCCACAGGTCTGGGGTACTGCACCCCTCCCTATAGGGTAAAGCAGGGTGTGGGGAAGGAGAAGAGATGGGGAGACAGGCAGGGGAAGATGGTGGCCCAGCCTTGGTCAGCCCAACACCCTGTGATTTCTGGGTCCCAGCCCTTGGCTCTGCTGGAGCTTTGATTTGCCTGTTGCAAGGCAGACTCCTGCCTGCCAGTTCTTGCTCCTGGGCTAGGACTCACTCTCTCCTGAGGGGCAGCTGTGACCCTGGCCCCAGGGGGTGGTACTGCTGTCCTGTGGCTGAGGGATGAGTGCCACTGTTGCTCCATCTGGGACCTGGCAGGGGGTGAGGGAGTCGAGTCTGGGCCCCTTCACTGGCAGTCCCTGGAGAGCCTGCCCTGCTCCCACCCCACCCTGCCTTGTCCCCGCCCAGCACCTTGTAGTGCTGCAGGGTGTTGAGTCTCTTCCAGTGGTTCTGGGTAACTGACGTCAAGTCTGCATCCGATAGGGTTAGGTGGCCAGCCAGGCCTGAGCGCCACTCTGGAGGGACCCAGGGAAGCTGCTCAGCCCACAGCCTGTTCTCCAAGTCCCCCATTTGCAGCAAGGCAAAGCTGGGTGTCTGCAAGTGGGGGAAGGCTTGTTCTCACCAAGGTCTAGGGCATGCACTGATGGTCTCTGGGAGAAGGGGGTGCCCTTGTAGACTTGGTCCAACACTTTCTCCTTGACCTGGGTGATGGTGTCTGTGTCGAGCACTCGGGCTGGCACATGCTGCACCTCATTGCCCACTGCGGCCCCACTGGTCCCAGGGCCCACCGACACCATCAGCGTTAGGGGCTGGAACTCCACATCCTCTCGCAACAGGCGGCTGTCATTCAGGGTCCGTTTTGCCTTGCCTGTCACGGCATCCACAGGGCCCTTGTCCACCTGGTACTGGATGGCCCGGAGGAGCATATAAAGTGGCTCACCAGCCACCTCCTGCAACCGCCGAGATGTGCCACCATTAGTCATAGGGCCAGTGGGCCAGGTGGAGGACTTAGGGGGTGGGAAGGGCAGCTGGCTTCCCCTCCATCCCTCCCAGTAGATACCCTGTCACTGGGCCTCTCCTTTGATGGCTTCCTTGAGGGCCCATCAAGGCCCCTGGGAGAATTTGGGCACAGGTCAAATAGGCCGAAGGGAGCCCCAAATGTTGGGAGGGGAGGATGGTGCCACCTGGGGTCCCTCACCCTCAGGAAGGTGTAGAGACAGATGGACAGCCAGTTGGAGAGCAGCTTCTCCACCATGGTCTCCGTCCTGTAGGGAGCAGGCCCCAGGTCCCCAGTGAGGTGTCCCTGTACTTCCCTTCTAAGCCACCTCCTGAGGGCGCCTTGACCCCCTCACCCCAGGGGCAGAGCCTGCCAGGGTTGGGCAGGGGCAGGTCAGTGCCCAGGTCAAGGCCAGATCAAAGCCAACCTGCGCAGCATGAGCTTGGGGTTCTTGTGTATGTAATGGGCCGTCAGGTCACCAAGCAGAGTCCTCATAATGTCGGTTAGGTACTCAAGCTTGCCATGCAGGGCCAGGGACAGCAGTGAAGCCACGTGGCAACGATCCCTCTGGGAAAAGCTGGGCTGCTCTTCCAAGGTGTGGATGAGCTAGGCAGGGGGCTGGCTTTCATTGTGGGAAGCCCCAGCCCTGTCCCCTGTGCCCACACTTCCCAGGCCCAGCCCTGCCCCACCCTGCCCAGCCCTGCCCCACGCGCGTCGCCCTCACTGTGAGGAGGAAGAGCTTGC